AATGTTATAAATTGATTTGCATTTTAATGAGGGAAATAAGTATTTGACCCCCTCTCAATCAGAAAGATTTCTGGCTCCCAGGTGTCTTTTATACAGGTAACGAGCTGAGATTAGGAGCACACTCTAAGAAACACAAAAGAACTGTCAGTCTCCTTCTGCCTGGGGCTCCATGCAAGATCTCACCAAGTGGAGTTGCAATGATCATGAGAACTGTGAGCAATCAACCCAGAACTACATGGGAGGATCTTGTCAATGATCTCAAGGCAGCTGGGACCATAGTCACCAAGGAAACAATTGGTAACTCACTACGCCGTGAAGGACTGAAATCCTGCAGCGCCCGCAAGGTCCCCCTGCTCAAGAAAGCACATATACAGGCCCGTCTGAAGTTTGCCAATGAACATCTGAATGATTCAGAGGAGAACTGGGTGAAAGTGTTGTGGTCAGATGAGACCAAAATCGAGCTCTTTGGCATCAACTCAACTCGCCGTGTTTGGAGGAGGAGGAATGCTGCCTATGACACCAAGAACACCATCCCCACCGTCAAACATGGAGGTGGAAACATTATGCTTTGGGGGTGTTTTTCTGCTAAGGGGACAGGACAACTTCACTGCATCAAAGGGACGATGGACGGGGCCCTGTACCGTCAAATATTGGGTGAGAACCTCCTTCCCTTAGCCAGGGCATTGAAAATGGGTCGTGGATGGGTATTCCAGCATGACAATGACCCAAAACACACGGCCAACGCAACAAAGGAGTGGCTCAAGAAGAAGCACATTAAGGTCCTGGAGTGGGCTAGCCAGTCTCCAGACCTTAATCCCATAGAAAGTCTGTGGAGGGAGCTGAAGGTTCGAGTTGCCAAACGTCAGCCTCAAAACCTTAATGACTTGGAGAAGATCTGCAAAGAGGAGTGGGACAAAATCCCTCCTGAGATGTGTGCAAACCTGGTGGCCAACTACAAGAAACGTCTGACCTCTGTAATTGCCAACAAGGGTTTTGCCACCAAATACTAAGTCATGTTTTGCAGAGTGGTCAAATACTTATTTCCCTCATTAAAATGCAAATCAATGTATAATATTTTTGACATGTGTTTTTCCACGAGGTGAGATCTTGCATGGAGCCCCAGGCCGAGGGAGATTGACAGTTATTTTGTGTTTCTTCCATTTGCGAATAATGGCACCAACTGTTGTCACCTTCTCACCAAGCTGCTTAGCGATGGTCTTGTAGCCCATTCCAGCCTTGTGTAGGTCTACAATCTTGTCCCTGACATCCTTGGAGAGCTCTTTGGTCTTGGCCATGGTGGAGAGTTTGGAATCTGATTGATTGTTTGCTTCTGTGGACAGGTGTCTTTTATACAGGTAACAAACTGAGATTAGGAGCACTCCCATTAAGAGTGTGCTCCTAATCTCAGCTCGTTACCTGTATAAAAGACACCTGGGAGCCAGAAATCTTTCTGAATGGGAGGGGGTCAAATACTTATTTCCCTCATTAAAATGCAAATCAATGTATAAAAATTTGTACATGCGTTTTTCTGGATTTTTTGTTGTTATTCTGTCTCTCACTGTTCAAATAAACCTACCATTAAAATTATAGACTGATCATGTCTTTGTCAGTGGGCAAACGTACAAAATCAGCAGGGGATCAAATACTTTTTTCCCTCACTGTAAATCATATGTGAATGTTAAAAACCTTAAGGTCATTTCTGCAGGCTTTAAGTACAAGGTGGTATGGTGGTATTTTAACTATGTCATAGAATAACTACAATGTAACTCTATTTAAAATTGCATTATCTGATTTCACCCTAACTGTGGATCACTGAAACAGTTGTTATTCAAACATGCCCAATGCATGCCTCCATACATGTGGATGGGAAGTACAGATTACCATATATTTTATTCAGTGTATGGCTGTACGCTAATCTGTCAATTAGTTATGTAAAATTGTGGTCATCATGTCCCTGCTTGGGGGGTGGAGGGCAGTTTGTATTATCTGTGATTTACTTCCATTATATTATAACGTGTGTGCTTGACACAATTTTAGCAAAACATAAATCAGAAATTATGCCTCACATTGTGCCTCATACAACTCATGTATACAGTTGAAGTCGGAAGTTTACATACACTTAGGTTGGAGTCATTAAAACTCATTTTTCAATCACTTCACACATTTCTTGTTAACAAACTTTAGTTTTGGCCAGTCGGTTAGGACACTTTGTGCATGACACAAGTAATTTTTCCAACAATTGTTCACAGACAGATTATTTCACTTATAATTCACTGTATCACAATTCCAGTGGGTCAGAAGTTTACATACACTAAGTTGACTGTGCCTTTAAACAGCTTGGAAAATTCCAGAAAATTATGTCATGGCTTTAGAAGCTTCTGATAGGATAATTGACATAATTTGGGTCAATTGGAGGTGTACCTGTGGATGTATTTCAAGGCCTACCTTCAATCTTAGTGCCTCTATGCTTGACATCATGGGAAAATCAAAAGAAATCAGCGAAGACCTCAGAAAAAGAATTGTAGACCTACACAAGTCTAGTTCATCCTTGGGAGCAATTTCAAAAAGCCTGAAGGTACCACGTTCATCTGTACAAACAATAGTATGCAAGTATAAACACCATGGGACCACGCAGTCGTCATACCGCTCAGGAAGGAGACGTGTTCTGTCTCCTAGAGATGAACGTACTTTGGTGCGAAAAGTGCAAATCAATCCCAGAACAACAGCAAAGGACCTTGTGAAGATGCTGGAGGAAACAGGTACAAAATTATCTATATACACAGTAAAACAAGTCCTATATCGACATAAACTGAAAGGCCGCTCAGCAAGGAAGAAGCCACTGCTCCAAAACCGCCATAAAAAAGCCAGACTACGGTTTGCAACGGCACATGGGGACAAAGATCGTACTTTTTGGAGAAATGTCCTCTGGTCTGATGAAACAAAAATAGAACTGTTTGGCCATAATGACCATTGTTATGTTTGGAGGAAAAAGAGGGATGCTTGCAAGCCGAAGAACATCATCCCAACCGTGAAGCACGGGGGTGGCAGCATCATGCTGTGGGGGTGCTTTGCTGCAGGAGGGGCTGGTGCACTTCACAAAATAGATGGCATCATGAGGAAGGAAAAGTATGTGGATATATTGAAGCAACGTCTCAAGACATCAGTCAGGAAGTTAAAGCTTGGTCGCAAATGGGTCTTCCAAATGGACAATGACCCCAAGCATACTTCCAAAGTTGTGGCAAAATGGCTTAAGGAAAACAAAGTCAAGGTATTGGAGTGGCCATCACAAAGCCCTGACCTCAATCCTATAGAACATTTGTGGGCAGAACTGAAAAAGTGTGTGCGCGCAAGGAGGACTACGAACCTGACTCAGTTACACCAGCTCTGTCAGAAGGAATGGGCCAAAATTCACCCAACTTATTGTGAGAATTTTGTAGAAGGCTACCCGAAACATTTGACCCAAGTTAAACAATTTAAAGGCAATGCTACCAAACACTAATTGAGTGTATGTAAACTTATGACCCACTGGGAATGTGATGAAATAAATAAAAGCTGAAATAAATCATTCTCTCTACTATTATTCTGACATTTCACATTCTTAAAATAAAGTGGTGATCCTAACTGACCTAAAACAGGGAATTTTTACTAGGATTAAATGTCAGGAATTGTGAAAAACTGAGTTTAAATGTTTTGAGAATGACACAAGTATTGGTCTTCACAAAGTTTGCTGCTTCAGTGTTTTTAGATATTTTTGTCAGATGTTACTATGGTATACTGAAGTATAATTACACGCATTCGATAAGTGTCAAAGGCTTTTATTGACAATTACTTTCCGAAGGCGCTGTACCTGGGCATGGCTTAAACATATCCTCCGGCCCTGATTCCTATCTGGGCATGTTTGACCTCAGATGCACTGCTAGCCCTGAGTGTTGTGTAAGATGTTTGGTTGTTTAAAACCATGGTTTGGACAATCAAATATCTCCAGAATTGTTTATGAAGGAATGACTCAATCAGCCACCTATTTAGCTGGTATCAACTAATGACATTAAGGTGAGGCAATATAGGCCAGAGAAGACCACCCTTAAAGTCGGTATTAGATCATGTAACAAATTGCTATTTTCTTGAACAGTGAAATTGAAATTATTTAGTGTTTTTGTTTGTGTTTCTAAAATTTGTAAAATCCTTTGTTACCAAAATAATACTATAAAAAAAGATATCCATCGATATAATCCGTTATTGATAGGTCCTCTCTTACCATTGAGGATAATTATGCTCATGATGTACGCCTAGTCTGTTCATAATGTGTCCTTAAAAAGGTGGGTCGAAGAAACGCACCACTTACACCCGCCATCCCCTTCATTCTTCCCTTTGAGGAGGCACCCAGTCATGCCAGCTGACATTATATTTTCTATACCTATAGATGCCATGGGTGATACAAAATCGGCACCAAATATGTAATTGCCATAAGTAAAGTTTGCTGAAATTATACCGTTTGTTGCTTGACCTTATTCATGGCGGGAATGACAGGTGTTTATTAAACACCAAGCCATTGTGTTCCTTCATACACGACCAATGCAGGATGCAGGCAAACTTCTTTCTTTTTTTCGTTTAAGGAAGATCATTGAAAAGTATCTGCTTGGTTAAAATACAATTAGGCTATTTCAAGGGCTGAACCGAAACTAATGTGGAATAGTCCATTCATAATGGGGAAAACAAGCAAAAAGCAAGAAGCTAGTAACAATTCGCATTTTTATTTGTGAAAAACGCAACTTCCAAATGTTTACATATATTGATCATTATATAAATATAACTTAGTTCTTTGCAATTAATTACAATGTCTAAAATCCTCTCAGAAAGGACAATGATGAAGACACATCTAGATTCTAGATACGAATTCCCCCAATGGGAATCAACCAGATGAGACTCAAATAATGAAACAGAAGTTCAATAGTAAAACAGAAGTTAAAATATAAGAATCAGTCTTTATGATTGCAGTCCAATCAGTAGCAACAGGGCGCCAACATCATTGGGTGTATTGGTTGTTGATGGACCATCTGTTGCATGGGATCTCTCTGAATGTAATGCGGGTACAACACTTGTGTGCTCTGCGCGAGGGCGGGGAGCTGTCCACCAAGCGCATGGTGCTGTAATGACGAAGCGGCTGCGAAGACCAGCGGTGGGAGCAGAGATGCTGGAGGAGCGAAGAATTCTGGGCGCATGTCTTGGACTTCGCGCTTCAGCTTCATCCTTCTGTTTTGAAACCATGTTTTAACCTGAAATGAAAGCATACAAATATGATACATTAGTGAATGCTAACTTTGTAATGTTGTTCTTGATCATATCATAAATTCAAGTCTTTAAGACATGTCATAGATTTTTATGCTATAGCTTGTGTCTTTACCTGAGTTTCAGAGAGTTTCAGTTTGTCAGCATTTTTTCTCCTTTGAGTTGCACCGAGGTACTTGTGTTTGTTGAAGGCCCGTTCTAGCCTGCAGATCTGATCAGAGGTGAACTTGGTTCTCATCCTGCGGTGTAGTGCAGACTCGCCCTCGCTATTATCCCCCACCTCACTCTCAGAGCCCGTATTGTAGCCACAGCTAGCTGGAAAGGTAAACATTTATTTTGTAAATAATCCAGAAATCACAAGTGCCTATACGGAACACACGCCAACATTAAATGCTCAAATTGATTGTTTTGAGAAGGAAAGTATACACTTACTGTTTGGAGATGATGGAGTGTAGTCTTTAGTCGACTCTTTAGCAAGCTCTTCCATGTTGACATGAAGTATCACTTCAGTAGGTACTTTCGGCTCAACTGAAACCACTTTATACGTTAATGGAGGCCGAGGAACAACTACACAAGGCATATGAGACCTTGTTATTCCATGTCTGCCATATTGTGTGCCTTCGACATCCACTCGGTCCTTTGAAGTGTTGTAAAAACTTTGAGATAACCATTCTACTGAGAATTTCGCCATGGTGTGCGGCGTGCGCTCTAGTTAGGGCGCAGGTGGTCTGTTGTAGGCCTCTAGGCTCCGGACTTCGCTCTATATAGGAGACACCCCAATCTATTTGCATATGTAAAGGGTTCTCAACGGAACGATACAAACTTGATGGTAGGTGCAATTGAAATTAATAGATGTTGCTATTGTGGTTTTTCACACGTTCAGTAGCCACCATGTCTGAGTATACTATCAAACTCCGTCTTGCAGGTATAGCCTCCTAGTTGCCCATCTGAGGATTAATGATGTATGTCAATCATTTAAGAGTATGACTTCATTATAGGCCCATACGAGTTTAGAGTAGACTGGGTTGAACAAAGCTATATATGATTCTATTACATTATTTCATTTGGAAAAGTAAATAAAATATCTGTCAATAGCATTGCCCATGCAATGCAATTATCACCTAAAAATCCATTGATTAATGTGACATACCCTTGTGCTGGCATATGGCCTTTTTTCTATACGTTAAATTCTCTGTTGCTACTGATGTTCTATGGGACAGGCTACTGTAACTATCATTTGTGAGACCGTTGTTCCAGATGTAGACAGAAGCGCCCAGCTGTCTGCTCGCCAACGTGAAGCTGATTGCTGATGAGGACCAATTGGCTGTCAGACAAAGTGGGTGTGATTGTTGGCAACATGCCTAAACGGAAAGTGAGAGAACCACATTTGATCTCTGTTTATTTGTGAATTTAAATAGGCATTTGCTATAAGCCCCTGGCCCGTTGTGAAACTGGTGACCATGTTCCATTGCAGGTTTCAATGCAGTTCCTACATTTCATTCAGCGCCAGTCTCATCAGCAGACCAAAATCACTGTAATTTTTGTGATCCTAGCCTTCCTCCTTAAAATGATCACACTTTAATTGAACCGTTCATGGTCAACTAGACAATGACTGGTTTTCACATGTATTTATATAGACAAAGGTGTCCTATCAATTCCCTATTTCAAGGCACAGGGGCTCAGCAATCATATCACATAATCAAAGTGTGACCTCAGGCTGAACATCAAACCTGAGATCTGGCTCTCCAGCGCACAAAACCCCAGACTCTTTGGAGCCGGTCCCTATGGCTCATGTGGTAGGTGTAAACTCATCAATGACCGGCTCAATTATAACTAATTGTTGACCATGATCTTCCCGTTAGCTAACATTTGAAGTACCGCATTGGAGACAAACAGACGCGCACATTAAAGCACAGTATGGGTGCCACTGCTGTGATAGACGAGAGAGAGGTGACGCGCGCGCACCCACATACAGCAGATTTTCTGGGGGTCTGTCTGCGCATGTGTCAGGAAGGCGCACTTTTAGCCTATACAATTGGGTGCTTACATCAGTAGGCTATTGCATTGATTTGTGAATGATTACTCACGATATAGGCATAGAATAAACATATGTAAAGCATAATGTAACGATCCTTGCTAAATGAGCCACGTTACAATCCCACAAGTGGGATTTTTTTATTTCACTTGTATTAATTCAGGGAAAGCAATTGAGACCAGGGTCTCATTTACGATTGTGCCCTGAGGACAACAATACAACACATTTAAAATGATCAATACAAATAAAATAAAATACAAAATACAGATTCAACACTACAGCTTCAATTATTTACATTCAATCCAAACAGTTGCCATTCTCATTAAATTAATTCAACATTTAAGTCCTAAACTGCCCTAAAGGCACCAGAGAGTCAAGATGTAGGGAGTTTTGTAGGCTATTACAGAAATGTGTGTGTGTGTGGGGGGGGGGGGGGGGGGGGGGGGGGGGGGCACTAAAATTGAAGGTGGATTTACCTAGATCGGTATGTACTAGTGGAACCTCGAGAGTTAACCATCCATGTGAACGCGTTTTGTGTCTCATATTTGAAAATGTTAACAGTGAATCGAGGTAGGTCGGAAGCTTGCAAAACTCTGCTTTGGTGCGTAAAGGGCTTTGCAGGCGTGGGGTCTCTTGCACGCCGCTAATACGTTTAATTCAACAGCTGAAAACCCTCCCACTTGCTGGCCAACAGATTTTCTCTTGGAGTTTTCATTCAATAGGGTTTTCAGAACATTTATCTTAAGCCATCCCTTTAAATATGGTGTACCTTTTAATTAGAATTGTGTCGACAAACTCACTAGAATACATTGAGAGAAGGGGTTCAGAATATAGGGATAAATGAAAGAAAGCCATGCATATTGTCTCCGTTTCAGCACCAACTGGTAGATTAAAAAATACTTGGATCTTATATATTATGATTATTTAGGCACATTTTAGGGTTAGGAAAGTATGTATGAATCATAAGGAAAACTGGTTTGGAGAGTCTTTAAACAATACATGTATTGAGGAATCAAAACGACAGTGGTTTGATTTATCCTGAAAGTTGTCAGGATAAAGTGTACAATAAGGTTGAACAATTGTCCCATAAATCTACCCTAATCCTTACTAATCATCAGTTGTATGACAAAGGTCCAGTCATCATGAAACGTGCTACATGTGGTCTGAGTTCCATAATGATTCAAATAGGCTACAACCTATTGCACAACATTAGCCTAATATGATTCACTAACAACCCTCAGGAACAGCTACACAGACATTACATTTACATTTTAGTCATTTAGCAGACGCTCGTATCCAGAGCGACTTACAGTTAGTGAGTGCATACATTTTTCATACATGACAGAGGAAAGAACGGTAAACGGAATGGAATGATGCCAAATGTAAGCTACTAAAGTGACACCTATAAATGTATGAGGGTATTACTGACGGTGGCTCCTGATAGTGGCTAATATTGAACATGATACAAATTGTAAAATAAAACAGAAAAACCCAGGCATATAATTAAAACATTCTAAAGCACAAACATCAATTTGGCAGGTTCAGCGATACAGAAGCCTATAGCTTGGGTCGCCAAATTTCATCCACGCAAGTTATGAGGGACACAATTACAATTCTGAATTATGGCACAACTATTAATAGCCTACTTCAATGTGGAAAATGGGCAGCAATACATATCATGTTGATATGATTTTCAGTTTGCTTCCATATGACTGGTTTCACATTCATCACCAGGGATCATAAGGAAAAATTATCTAAAACAATTGCTATGTGTATTTACAATCCCCTTCTCCAAATGGATTACTCATTTACCTAGCTCAAAATTATCTAAAACAATTGCTATTTGTATTTACAATCCCCTTCTCCAAATGGATTACTCATTTACCTAGCTCTTATCAATAGTTCTTATCAATTTATAATTTACAGTTCATGAAGAATGATATTATTTCTATCAGAGAAAACAAAGTAGATGCTTTTCTCACTTGGAACAGGCAGGTTTGCTCGACCTTATTTATGGTTCCCCTATGTCTAAAGGTGGTGGAATTATGAGAGAATTAAGTCAAGGTCAGAATATGGCATCTGTAGACACACCTCTGCCACACCTTCATTTCTTAGATCTCAACCCCAAATATGCTATTCTCATGCTTAAGTTCAAGGTCAGAATACACAGAGAGAAAATTGCATAAAAAGGGAATTACGTTCCATTTCGGCACGCTTAGCTCGGGTTGAGTGGCGCAGTGGTCTAAGGCACTGCATCGCAGTGCTAACTGTGCCACTAGAGATCCTGGTTCGAATCCAGGCTCTGTCGCAGCCGGCCGCGACCGGGAGACTCATGGGCGGCACACAATTGGCCCAGCGTCGTCTAGGGTAGGGGAGGGAATGGCGTTTGCAACGCCAGGGTTGTGGGTTCGATTCCCACGGGGGGCCAGTATAAAAAAAAAAATGTAATCTCTAACTGTAAGTCGCTCTGGATAAGAGCGTCTGCTAAATGACTAAAATGTAAATGTAAAATGTAAAAAATGTAATGGGTTGGAATCAGCCCCATACTGTCTATACACACCATTCACATACATATACAGTATATTATTTATATTCTGGACTCAGGCCCATAAGCTAATTTCCTGCAATTATAACCATATTGCTATGGGGTTTTATACTGTGTATTTATATACTGTATTCTCGACATAGCTTATTCTAATATACCGTGTGGTGCCAGGATAACAACCTCTCCCTCAACGTGATCAAGACAAAGGAGATGATTGTGGACTACAGGAAAAGAAAGAGGACTGAGCATGTCCCCATTCTCATCAACGGGGCTATAGTGGAACAGGTTGAGAGCTTCAAGTTCCTTGGTGTCCACATCACCAACAAACTATCATGGTCCAAACACACCAAGACAGTCGTGAAGAGGGCACGACAAAGCCTATTCCCCCTCAGGAGACTGAAAAGATTTGGTATGGGTCCTCAGATCCTCAAAAGGTTATACAGCTGCACCATCGAGGGCATCCTGACTGGTTGCATCACCGCCTGGTATGGCAACTGCTCGGCCTCCGACCGCAAGGCACTACAGAGGGTAGTGCGTACGGCCCAGTACATCACTTGGGCCAAGCTTCCTGCCATCCAGGACCTCTATACCAGGCGGTGTCAGAGGTAGGCCCTCAAAATTATTTTATTTCAGCTCATGAAACATGGGACCAACACTTTACATGGTGCGTTTATATATTTGTTCAGTTTATTTCTACTACTGTACATTGCATTTTAGTTACACTGTTTTGTACACACAGCATATGTATTTACATAGCACACTCTAATCCCTCTTGCACTGGCTCTATGCACACTCACTAGACTCTACCCACACACTCACACATACTACACTAGCACTCCAACACACACACACACTACAAATGCCCAAGCACACAATACACACTCACACATGCATATTGACGCCACACACACACACACACACACACTTTTTATATGTGGACACATACCATGCTGCTGCCCTTAGGGGGAAGTGTAACATTGCTAATTTCTCTGACATCTTTGCTGCCAGGGAGTTCAAAGCTCGCATTGACTCCTTTTTCTACATCCTGGGAAGCTTTTCATATACGCTGCTGCTACTCTGTTTATTATTATATCCTTATTGCCTAGTAATGTTTTTTACCCCTACACACATGTACGTACTGTATAACCTCAATTACCTGAACTACCTCCTACCCCTGCACATTGACTCGGTACTGGTACTTCCTGTATATAGCCTCGTTATTGTTATTTTATTGTGTTACCATTTCCTTTTTTATTGAGCATTTTTTTTTCTTACTTTTTAACTCTGTATTGTTGGGAATATGCTCATAAGGAATCATTTCACGGTAAAGTCAACAGGGTAAAGTCTACACATGTTGTATTGGGCGGCATGTGACCAATACATTTGGATTTGGTTTGATTTCATATATCTACTGCTGTACATATCATTCTTAGTATATTTTGTGTCAATTCATCCGGTGTAGATATGCATAGATTGCATTTGGATTACTGTTATAGTGCTATTTGTGTTGACCTTGAGCCACTATCGTTTCTTGTCTAGCCTCTTTCCTGTCTATGCCCATGTCTGCTTGGTTTCCCGTCCTCTTGCCTGACTCTATTGGTGGCGTGATAAAGACAGTTCCTTTAAAAATAATATACATACACACCTGATGATAATTATATAGTACATTGATAAAAATAAAAATAAATGTATGCACTCACTAACTGTAAGTCGCTCTGGATAAGAGCGTCTGCTAAATGACTAAAATGTCAATGTAAATTACTGCAGTCACAATGTGGTTGTCCAGTCATGCATCTGGATTACAAAATATGTTTCATAATATGTTTCATACATCATGTTTCAAAATATGTTTCATACATCATAGACGGGTGTAGTCACTAATCCTCTTTTAAACCCATAATGATTCTGCTTTTATAATATATGTAATGGAAAAATACCTATAATTGCTAGGTAGCACATTACTGCACTGTTGGAGCTGCACCTAAGTTAGCATCTGCAAATCTGTGTATGAGAACAATAAACTTTGATTTTGGTTTGATTAATCTTACACTTATCAGAATTAAATTACGCTAATATGCCCATGCCCTTACAGAGAAGATTGCCGATTTACATACTGTCAAACCACAAAATTGTTGTGCATAAGCTAATTGTTCAGCTGGAAGTTGTTATGCAGTGTTGTAACATTACATACGAATAAAACTAAATAAAAAAGAAATGTTGTGATATAAGATATTCTTGAATGATAAATAGACTTTAATCTCTGCACACCTTTAAACAAATTATTTACAAAAATCCCATCCAAGATAAAAGCTGGATTTGTAAGTGTTTGAGTCGAAAGTTCAGTCTGTAGCGTATAGTCTTAATATGTAATTAATATAGTAAAAATATGCGTTGGACATCGTTGGGTGGGGGTGCTGATGATAAGAAACCATCTGTTGCACCATGGGCGGATACATCGCGTGGTTGGCAGGGGTGTATGGTAGGTGCTGTCCACCGAAGCCGTGGTACTGAAATGGGCGCATGGGCTGGAACGTCATCGGAGACTGGGCGGGAGCGAGGTACTCAGCGCGCAAGTCTTGGAGTTCCTGTTTCTGTTTCATCCTCCTATTCTGAAACCAAGTTCTCACCTGAAACAAGAAACACATAACATAAAAACCATTAGAACCAAATCAACACTCGTAGAATTAAATAGGCCTACAGCACAATGTATAATGTGCTTTTGTATTCTAGTCTTACCTGAGTTTCAGAGAGGTTCAACTTCAGTGCCGTTTTGACTCGATTTCCAGCATCTGGATACTTGTGCTTGTTGTATATCTTCTCCAACTTTTCAATCTGCGACGGTGTGAACCTAGTACGTACACGTCGTTGGGCTCCGTCTCTCTCTCCCTCGCTCCCCTCTTCCACCGAGGGACATTCCGAGGAGGCAGCCTCACTATCATACGCCGAGGAGTACCCACTGTTTTCTGAAACTGTGAAAAAATATCAGTTAATAAAATGCTCTTCAATAAAAAACACGATTTAAATGTGTTGTAACACCAAGTTTTTACATGTAATATTAAATTAAATGTTAACATATAGTAGCCTGAATGTTGCTTACGACTTGGAGAAGAGCAGCTTGTCGGATGCAGAGGTGAGCTCAACCTGGATTCCTGATTCTTTGGTTTTTCAGTGGAATTCGTCAATTCAAACCTTGTGGTCTTTGGCTTTGGCTGGAGGTAGACCTTGTTAGAAGAGGTTGGAGGTCGAGGCTGGACCATGCAAGGAACATGGGGTTTGAAGTGGGTTAGCATAGTATGCACATGTCCAGTGTCCACAGGTCCTTCTTTCGGGTTGGTGTCGTGATGGCTCTTCGCCAACCAGTCTACAGAGAAGTTATTGACCATGTTTGCTTCCATGAGCTCAGCAAACTATCCGAGGAGGGTCAGAGCATATAGTGATATGGCCCTCCATATATAGGCCCGGCCCTCTCCAAGATTTGCATTTGCAAAAGTGCGTTAACGCCTGATCGATTCCCAATGATTAGGTCCTAATGGGTCCTTATTGAAGCCTAGAGCCACCAAGTCTGTGAGAACCAGCTGAGCTCATCTCACTGGGCACAGATATCAGTTCAACGACTAGTTTTGATTGACATTTGGTTGAGTTGTCGACTAATGTGAAATCAACGAGGAAAACGACGTTTATTCAACCAGTGTTTGCCCAGATGTGTTACATTTGTCCACCCCAGCTGAAAATATACGGAAACAACACATGGAGAGAGTCCACCTATGCATCAGAGTTCTAAGGTTATGATATGTTGACGCATATAGGCCTACAATGACTTGACATTTAAGTTGTAGCCCATTGCAGAACGAATAAGATCACACTGAAAACAGCAGACCAATTAAAACCACTTTCTAAACAAGATAACAGGCTTTGCCACAGACCTAGTAAAACAGAAACCTAAACATGACTAAACTTGTAACATCATGCTGCAACACAAGTCAATGTCTATAGCTGTACACTCTTAGAAGAAAAGGTGCTATCTAGAACCTAAAATGGTTATTCGGCTGTCCCCATAGGAGAACCCTTTGAAGAACCCTTTTTAGTTCCAGGTAGCACCATTTTGGTTCCAGGTAGAACCCTTTTGGGTTCCATGTAGAACCCTTTTCACAGGCGTATCGCTGCAGAATGCTGTGGTAGCCATGCTGGTTAAGTGTGCCTTGAATTCTAAATAAATCACAGACTGTGTCACCAGCAAAGCACCCCCACACCATAACACCTCCTCCTCCATGCTTTACGGTGGGAACTACACATGCAGAGATCATCCATTCACCCACACCGCGTCTCACACCGACGTCAGTGCTAAATTTGAGCCAGATCCTGACGTAACAGGATAACCTCTCAGATTTTACCTTGTTTGTTCTGGCACCTATTTGCCCGGCTCCGGTACCTCATGCGGCATTATTTATAAAATTGGCAAACTTCAGACCGGCCTGTATATGTGCTTTCTTGAGCAGGGGGACCTTGCGGACGCTGCATGATTTCAGTCCTTCACGGCGTAGTGTGTTACCAATTGTTTTCTTGGTGACTATGGTCCCAGCTGCCTTGAGATCATTGACAAGATGCTCCGGTGTAGTTCTGGGCTGATTCCTCACCGTTCTCATGATCATTGCAACTCCACGAGGTGAGATCTTGCATGGAGCCCCAGGCCGAGGGAGATTGACAGTTCGTTTGTGTTTCTTCCATTTGCGAATAATCGCACCAACTGTTGTCACTTTCTCACCAAGCTGCCTGGCGATGGTCTTGTAGCCCATTCCAGCCTTGTGTAGGTCTACAATCTTGTCCCTGACATCCTTGGAAAGCTCTTTGGTCTTGGCCATGGTGGAGTGTTTGGAATCTGATTGATTGATTGCTTCTGTGGACAGGTGTCTTTTATACAGGTAACAAGCTGAGATTAGGAGCACTCCCTTTAAGAGTGGGGCGGCAGGTAGCTTAGTGGATAAGAGCGTTGTTCCAGTAACCGAAAGGTCGCTGGTTCTAATCCCTGAGCCGACTAGGTGAAAAATCTGTCGATGTGCCTTTGAGCAAGGCACTTAACCCTAATTGCTCTGGATAAGAGTGTCTGCTAAATGACTAAAATGTAAAAATGTTACCTGTATAAAAGACACCTGGGAGCCAAAAATCTTTTTGATTGAGAGGGGGTCAAATACTTATTTCCCTCATTAAAATGCAAATCAATTTATAACATTGTTGACATGCGTTTTTCTGGATTTTGTTGTTGTTATTCTGTCTCTCACTGTTCAAATAAACCTACCATTAAAATTATAGACTGATCATTTCTTTGTCAGTGGGCAAACGTACAAAATCAGCAGGGGATCAAATACTTTTATCCCTCACTGTATATATATCAAATCAAATTATTGTGATATGCTTGTTCTACTGCTACATTGATGTCTTGAAAAGTATATGAAATTCGAGTCTTGTAAGCCCCACAGCTGAGTATGTGTGCATATGCATATGGCGGGTGTTCTGCAGTGACGCCTAAAAATGTTTCTGTACATTGATGTCTTGAAAATTAGGCTATAAGAAATTCAGACTTGTAAGCCCCAGAGCTATACTAGAGTATGTGGGCATAGTATATGTTTGAGACCAACGTATGGCCGATGCGTGACGGTAGCTGTATGAGAAGCGTGCCAGTATCTCTCACATAACTAGATTCACTTTCTATGATCTCTCTCCCTCTCTGCTCCGATAGACATGAGCCTGAACTCTCATCTCTCAAGCATTGCACTTAATCATTTAGTTAGACTCTATGCTGTAGGCCACCAAAATATTTGATCAACTTCCAAATATTGTTTTACAAAAGAGAGAGAGAGATATGCTTTTGGCACGAGTGCATCCGCCATCAACAGTGAGTGAGATGCGCATCATTGGGTGTGTCAGTGAAACTGGGAAGCATTTTTAGGACAAATTTCCTCCTCATATTGTAGCTTCCAATATGTCTCTCCACACACCTAGGCCTAGGCTATTGATGGATTGAAGACAAGGTTGTTTTTATTGATGTCTGATTCTCAGTTTGTCAGTGTCAAAGTAGCCTGCCATTTCGATCATTTGCGTGGTATTAACAAAAATTCTGCCAAAGTCTCCAGTCATGTAAAATGATGTAGAATTGCATGAAATGAGTTTATAAAAGGCCAACATTTTCCCGGACATTATGCTACTGAAAATGTACCCCATGTGTGCAACTTCTGTAAGTGCCTCTACTCTACTGCTCTATGCCACTATGCAAATGCAATGATATGAATGCAATTCTTTATTATAAAGGAGATTTTTTTTTTCATGCATTCCAGTTCCTCAGAACTCCACAGGTCACCCCCATCTCGTGCTGACTGATTGTTCCGGCACCTCCCGATTTACAAATTAAACACTGGGCACCGTTGGAAATGCCGAGTGCTGAAGCGCGTAGCGCGTAAGAATAGTCTGTTCTTGGTTGCAACACTCACTCCCGTGTTCCAAACTGCCTCTGGAAGCAACGTCAGCACAAGAACTGTTCATTGGGAGCTTCATGAAATGGGTTTCCATGGCCAAGCAGCCGCACACAAGCCTAATATCACCATGCCCACTCCTCCATACAGACCTTCTCCAGATCCTTCAGGTTTCGGGGCTGTCGCTGGGCAATACGGACATTCAGCTCCCTCCAAAGATTTTCTATTGGGTTCAGGTCTGGAGACTGTCTAGGCCACTCCAGGACTTTGATATGCTTCTTACGGAGCCACTCCTTAGTTGCCCTGGCTGTGTGTTTCGGGTCGTTGTCATGCTGGAAGACCCAGCCACGACCCATCTTCAATGCTCTTACTGAGAGAAGGAGGTTGTTGGCCAAGATCTCGCGATACATGGCCCCATCCATCCTCCCCTCAATACGGTGCAGTCATCCTGTCCCCTTTGCAGAAAAGCATCCCCAAAGAATGATGTTTCCACCTCCATGCTTCACGGTTGGGATGGTGTTCTTGGGGTTGTACTCATCCTTCTTCTTCCTCCAAACACGGCGAGTGAAGTTTAGACCAAAAAGCTCTATTTTTGTCTCATCAGACCACATGACCTTCTCCCATTCCTCCTCTGGATCATCCAGATGGTAATTGGCAAACTTCAGACGGGCCTGGACATGCACTGGCTTGAGCAGGGGGACCTTGCGTGCGCTGCAGGATTTTAATCCATGACGGCGTAGTGTGTTACTAATGGTTTTCTTTGAGACTGTGGTCCCAGCTCTCTTCAGGTCATTGACCAGGTCCTGCCGTGTAGTTCTGGGCTGATCCCTCACCTTCCTCATGATCATTGATGCCCCACGAGGTGAGATCTTGCATGGAGCCCCAGACCAAGGGTGATTGACCGTCATCTTGAACTTCTTCCATTTTCTAATAATTGCGCCAACAGTTGTTGCCTCCTCACCAAGCTGCTTGCCTATTGTCCTGTAGCCCATCCCAGCCTTGTGCAGGTCTACAATTTTATCCCTGATGTCCTTACACAGCTCTCTGGTCTTGGCCATTGTGGAGAGGTTGGAGTCTGTTTGATTGAGTATGTGGACAGGTGTCTTTTATACAGGTAACGAGTTCAAACAGGTGCAGTTAATACAGGTAATGAGTGGAGAACAGGAGGGCTTCTTCAAGAAAAAGTAACAGGTCTGTGAGAGCCGGAATTCTTACTGGTTGGTAGGTGATCAAATACTTATGTCATGCAATAAAATGCAAATGAATTACTTAAAAATCATACAATGTGATTTTCTGGATTTTTGTTTTAGATTCCGTCTCTCACAGTTGAAGTGTACCTATGATAAAAATTACAGACCTCTACATGCTTTGTAAGTAGGAAAACCTGCAAAATCGGCAGTGTATCAAATACTTGTTCTCCCCACTGTGTGTGTGTATATATATGATGCTTTGGGGCTGTCGCTGGGCAACACAGACTTTCAACTCCCTCCAAAGATTTTCTATGGGGTTGAGATCTGGAGACTGGCTAGGCCACTCCAGGACCTTGAAATGCTTCTTACGAAGCCACTCCTTCGTTGCCCGGGCGGTGTGTTTGGGATCATTGTCATGCTGAAAGACCCAGCCACGTTTCATCTTCAATGCCCTTGCTGATGGAAGGAGGTTTTCACTCAAAATCTCACGATACATGGCCCCATTCATTCTTTCCTTTACACGGATCAGTCGTCCTGGTCCCTTTGCAGAAAAACAGCCCCAAAGCATGATGTTTCCACCCCCATGCTTCACAGTAGGTATGGTGTTCTTTGGATGCAATTCAGCATTCTTTGTCCTCCAAACACGACGAGTTGAGTTTTTACCAAAAAGTTATATTTTGGTTTCATCTGACCAGATGACATTCTCCCAATCCTCTTCTGGATCATCCAAATGCACTCTAGCAAACTTCAGACGGGCCTGGACATGTACTGGCTTAAGCAGGGGGACACGTCTGGCACTGCAGGATTTGAGTCCCTGGCGGCGTAGCGTGTTACTGATGGTAGGCTTTGTTACTTTGGTCCCAGCTCTCTGCAGGTCATTCACTAGGTCCCCCCGTGTGGTTCTGGGAGTTTTGCTCACCGTTCTTGTGATCATTTTGATCCCACGGGGTGAGATCTTGCGTGGAGCCCCAGATCGAGGGAGATTATCAGTGGTCTTGTATGTCTTCCATTTCCTAATAATTGCTCCCACAGTTGATTTCTTCAAACCAAGCTGCTTACCTATTGCAGATTCAGTCTTCCCAGCCTGGTGCAGGTCTACAATTTTGTTTCTGGTGTCCTTTGACAGCTCTTTGGTCTTGGCCATAGTGGAGTTTGGAGTGTGACTGTTTGAGGTTGTGGACAGGTGTCTTTTATACTGATAACAAGTTCAAACAGGTGCCATTAATACAGGTAACGAGTGGAGGACAGAGGAGCCTCTTAAAGAAGAAGTTACAGGTCTGTGAGAGCCAGAAATCTTGCTTGTTTGTAGGTGACCAAATACTTATTTTCCACCATAATTTGCAAATAAATTCATAAAAAATCCTACAATGTGATTTTCTGGAATTTTTTTCTCAATTTGTCTGTCATAGTTGACGTGTACCTATAATGAAAATTACAGGCCTCTCTCATCTTTTTAAGTGGGAGAACTTGCACAATTGGTGGCTGACTAAATACTTTTTTTCCCCACTGTGTGTGTGTGTATATATATATATATATATATATATATATATATATATATATACACTACCAGTCAAAAGTTTGGACACACCTACTCATTCAAGGGTTTTTCTTAATTTTTGCTATTTTCTCCATTGTAGAATAATAGTGAAGACATCAAGACTATGAAATAACACATATGGAATCATGTAGTAACCAAAACAGTGATAAACAAATGAAAATATATTTTATATTTGAGATTCTTCAAATTAGCCACCCTTTGACTTGATGACAGCTTTGCACACTCTTGGCATTCTCTCAACCAGCTTCATGAGTTAGTCACCTGGAATGCCTTTAAATTAACAGGTGTGCCTTGTTAAAAGTTAATTTGTGGAATTTCTTTCCTTCTTTATGCATTTGAGTCAATCAGTTGTGTTGTGACAAGGTAGGGGGGTATACAGAAGATAGCCCTATTTGGTAAAAGACCAAGTCCATATTATGGCAAGAACAGCTCAAATAAGCAAAGCGAAACGACAGTCCATCATTACTTTAAGATATGAAGGTCAGTCAATACAGAACATTTAAAGAACTTTTAAACGTTCTTCAAGTGCAGTCGCAAAAACTATCAAGCGCTATGATGAAACTGGCTCTCATGAGGACCGCCACAGGAAAGGAAGACCCAGAGTTACCTCTGCTGCAGAGGATAAGTTCATTAGAGTTAACTGCACCTCAGATTGCAGCCCAAGTAAATGCTTCACAGAGTTCAAGTAACAGACACATCTCAACATCAACTGTTCAGAGGAGACTGCATGAATCAGGCCTTAATGGTCAAATTGCTGCAAAGAAACCACTACTAAAGGACACCAATAAGAAGAAGAGACTTGTTTGGGCCAAGAAACACGAGCAATGGACATTAGGCCGGTGGAAATTTGTCCTTTCGTCTGATGAGTCCAAATGTGAGATTTTTAACTTTTAACAAGGCACACCTGAAGCTGGTTGAGAGAATGCCAAGAGTGTGCAAAGCTATCATCAAGTCAAAGGGTGGCTACTTTGAAGAATTTGTTTAACACTTTTTTGGTTACTACATGATTCTATGTGTTATTTCATAGTTTTGATGTCTTCACTATTATTCTCAATGTAGAAAATAGTAAAAATAAAGAAACACCCTGGAATGAGTAGGTGTGTCCAAACATTTGACTGGTACTGTATATATTTGGAAATGTATCCCCGGGACTACAAAAGGGGTGCAACCATTTAGATGGTGCGCCGGAGAGTTGAAAATTGTCATTATCTATCTGTGATTGTATCAAAATATCTCACTTTTAAAATCGAATTGAGCTATAATACATGACAACACAATTAAAGACATGTCATCTCATTATGAAACATTATCATCATTATGTTGTCTTAAAGACTAGCAATCAAAATGGTGTACACGAGAGAGAAATGTGATCCATATGCCTCCACCAGAAGGATTTTAAAAAGTCGAATACTGTTTTCTACTCATTCTAACATCAAAAGAAACAATGATATGTTTCAGATTACTTTGTACTCTACTTTGGAGATAATCAAGGAGTTGGAGGTGTGCAATGGATTGTCAGGCTATGGTGTGCAATGTGGGGGATTGAGCTCGACTTCTCACTGTATACAATCAGAGTGAAGTCCGCTGAACCTTGGATGCCTTCATGTGGCTCCGTCATTGAGTTCAAATAAAGACTGTCCTCATAATGTCTTCATCAAAGTTATTACCAATAAATAGAGACACCCACCCAGTCTCTGCTACCAAAGTAACTCAGTGAGGGGTTTGGGGTCTTTTGAGTCGTTGTCCGACCAGGGCCTGAATTCATAAAGCATTAGGAGTACTGATCTAGGACCAGGTCCCCTCTGTCCATATAATCATATTAATTATGATCTAAAAGGCAAAACTGATCCTAGATCAGGCAAGGCTGTAGGTCATTGGAAGGTGGCCTTCACCCTCTTCAGTGTGTCCTGGATCCTGCGGGTGTGTCGGTCAGTGGGGGTGTGGTGGAAGTTGGCCTCGTTGTCTGCAGCCAGCAGGGGGATGTCACAGCCGCTGAGGTGGGCGATGCGTAGTCTTAGGTAGGCCTGCAGCTCCAGGTCAGGAGTGAAGGAGTACACTGTCTCCTGGAACGCATGCACCTGACTCACCACCTTCGCTATGGTCCTGGACAGTGAGGAAGGAGAGAGATAAAGATAGAAAGAGAGGGGGAAAGAAGCAGATAGGTAAAGGGGGGAGACAAGAAAGTACATGAAATTAGGACAAAGGCAGAGATTGAAGTTGGGGCCACCATGGAGATGGAGGACTAGACAGAGGGTGAAAAAGAGAAATAGGAGTTTGTTATTGTTAATCTTCGGCAGGAACATACTCATAATTTGGCACCATGTTACTGAACACTTGCATCATATACAGTACAGTAAGTGACCTGATTTCTAGAATAGTGGGGGAACCTAGGGTCTATCATAACCAGCTGTGACGCTGCCTCTCACCGTGACCCTTTATGACCCCAGCTTCTGTCAACATCGATGCATCTCGGAGCACCTGGCGTGCCACATCTCCCAAAATCACACAGCATCGCGATACACCATCTGGCTGTGTGCTAGCTTTAGTAGAGGAACCCAAATCCTAAAAGACTGCCATGGATGAGCAGCTGTGTCATTACCGTCCGCCACAACTTTCTTTGAACCCAGCATCTGGCCGCCATATACAAGTGGGTAGAAGGACACAGGGATACTAGTTTGGTGGCAACTTGGCCCACTTCATTACATCAAAGGAGAAAGTTAATATCAAGTTTACACCGTTAAACAATGAGTGTCAGGTTGATATCCATGTCAGTGCAAAGGCGACCAGAGTAGATTCATTAATCTCAATCCAGACCCAGATTAAGCCTAGTCCTGGGCCTGTATTCACAACGCATCTCAGAGTAGGAGTGCTGATCTAGGATCAAGTTCTCTCTGTCCATTTAAGCGACTTTGGTTCCTTGAAAAGCTATGTATACAGTACATGACCAAAAGTATGTGGACAACTGCTCGTTCAACATCTCATTCCAAAATCATGGGCATAAATATGGAGTTGGTCCCCCCTTTGCTGCTATAACAGCCTCCACTATTCTGGGAAGGCTTTCCACTAGATGTTGGAACATTGCTGCAGGGACTTGATTCCATTCAGCCACAAGAGCATTAGTGAGGTCAGGCACTGATTGGGCGATTAGGCAAGACTCGCAGTCGGCGTTCCAATTCATCCTAAAGGCGTTCGATGGGGTTGAGGTCAGGGCTCTGTGCAGGCCAGTCAAGTTCTTCCACACCGATCTCGACAAACCATTTCTGTATGGACCTCGCTTTGTGCACAGGGGCATTGTCATGCTGAAACAGGAAAGGGCCTTCCCCAAACTGTTGCCACAAAGTTGGAAGCACAGAATCGTCTAGAATGTCACTGTATGCTGTAGCGTTAAGATTTCCCTTCACTGGAACTAAGGGGCCTAGCCCGAACCATGAAAAACAGCCCCCGAACCATTATTCCTCCTCCACCAAACTTTACAGTTGGCACTATGCATTTGGTCAGGTAGTGTTCTCCTGGCATCCACCAAACCCAGATTCATCCGTCGGACTGCCAGATGGGGAAGCGTGATTCATCACTCCAGAGAACGTGTTTCCACTGCTCCAGAGTCCAATGGCGGAGAGCTTTACACCACTCCAGCCGATGCTTGGCATTGCGCATGGTGATCTTAGGCTTGTGTGCGGCTGCTCGGCCATGGAAACCCATTTCATGAAGCTCCCGACGAACAGTTCTTGTGCCGACGTTGCTTCCAGAGGCAGATTGGAACTCGGTAGTGAGCTTTGCAACCGAGGACAGACGATTTTTAAGCGCTACACGCTTCATCACTCGCCGGTCCCGTTCTGTGAGCTTGTCTGGCCTACCACTTCGTGGCTGAGCCGTTGTTGCTCCTAGACGTTTCCACTACACAATAACAGCACTTACAGTTGACCGGGGCAGCTCTAGCAGGGTAGAAATTTGACGAACTGACTGACTTGTTGGAAAGTTGGCATCCTATGACAGTGCCACGTTGAAAGTCACTGAGCTCTTCAGTAAGGCCATTCTACTGCCAATGTTTTTTCTATGGAGATTGCATGGCTGTGTGCTCGATTGTATACACCTGTCAGCAACGGGTGTGGCTGAAATAGCCGAATCCACTAATTTGAAGGGGTGTCCACATACATTTGTATATATAGTGTAAGTCACATTTATTATTATTATTATTCATTATGATCTAAAAGGCTAAATTTATCCTAGATTACCACTCCTACTATGAGACGGTTTTTGAATACAGACCCAGGACTTTATGTGCTGGTTACCGCGGACTCCGAAAAAGCGTAAACCACTTACAATTCTCCATTCAGCTTCTCCTTAGAAAATCGTTTTTAGTCCAGGACTAGACCTAATCTGTTTAGAGGAAACTGGCCCTGAGATGTTGCATTACGCTCATTCACCTAAGTTTTGGCCACTTGTAGGCGCCGCTGGTCAGAGTGAAGGCTCCGATCTCCAGCTGCTGGATGTGCATGGCCAGGATGTGGGCAGCAGGGAGGGTGGGTCTCCTCCTCACATGCTCTCCTCCCATCAGACACAGGTTATCACTCTTCAGAAAGACCTGACAAAGAGGGAGGGAGAGGGGGAGGGAAGAGAGAGGGATACAAAAAGAGGGAGAGAAAGAGAAGGAGGGAGAGAGAGAGAGAGAGAGAGAAGAGAAAGAGCATTCACAAACTGATGTCTTACTCTTCCCTTGATTTATAACATCTTGAAGTTTTCATGAAAAAACAAGAAATTAAGTTAGGCAAAATACTTTTCCTAATCTTTGCAAAGTGTGTTATTTGAGAATGTCTCGCATCAAGTTTGGTTCTATATAGCCTCCAGACCGTTCTCAAATTAGAATATGGTGTGATGTCTGGTAGCACGATGAAAAAAGCATATAATGCTGGCCAGCTGTGAATGTGTCACAGAATTTCACAAACAGATGTGCTGCTTGAATGTGTTTTTCTTTCGGCTTATTTGCCTGAAGCCCCACATGTGTCTCTGGTACAGCAGAGGGCACACACACACACACACACACACACACACAAACATGCCTTACCTGCACGGCTCGCAGCTCCTCTAGGACCTCACACACCTTGGTAGACAGATGTTTCCAAGCCTATCGGCAAGAAAGGAGGTGTTTCATTTAGCAAGAACCAATAAATCTGTCTCACACTTAAGGAAGCTTTACTCCCATTACAGTATTTCTTTTTGTTGCTTTGGTGCAACTTTCACAAGTATGTGGTACATTTTCATGACTCTTAGTACAAAACTCAAAACAGATCATCAAAAATGCAGTTGTTTCAAAACTCTAAGCACATTTTATATTGACTAAGTACGACACACAAAATCATACAGTCACTTTTTCACCAAACTTAATCAGTGTTTCATCTACAACTACATGTTTCACATTGCAATACAAGTTCATATAAAGTAATTGACTTTCACAATGCTCACATTACTTTTGATATGATTCTCTTCTCTTTTGTTAAAAAACATTTTGCTATTACTTAATCCAACTGCTCTGAAATGTTTGTCCGGCCATGCACGGTCGAAGTCATAGTAAAAGTCCTTGTATGCTATATATATTTTTTTTTATTGAGATGGTTTGGGATGAGTCGGACAGCAGAGTGAAGGAAAAGCGGCCAACAAGTGCTCAGCATACTCATTCAAGGGTTTTTCTTTATTTTTTACTATTTTTACATTGTAGAATAATAGTGAAGACATCAAAACTATTAAATAACACACATGGAATCATGTAGTAACCAAAAAAGTGTTAAACAAATCAAAATTTATTTTGTATTTGAGATTCTTCAAATAGCCACCCCTTGCCTTGATGACAGCTTTGCACACTCTTGGCATTCTCTCAACCAACTTCACCTGTAATGCTTTTCCAACAGTCTTGAATGAGTTCCCACATATGCTGAGCACTTGTTGGCCGCTTTTCCTTCACTCTGCTGTCCGACTCATCCCAAACCATCTCAATAGGGTTGAGGTCGGGGGATTGTGGAGGCCAGGTCATCTGATGCAACACTCCATCACTCTCCTTCTTGGTAAAATAGCCCTTACACAGCCTGGAGGTGTGTTGGGTCATTGTCCTGTTGAAAAACAAATGATAGTCCCACTAATCCCAAACCAGATGGGATGGAATATCGCTGCAGAATGCTGTGGTAGTCATGATGGTTAAGTGTGCTTTGAATTATAAATAAATCACAGACAGTGTCACCAGCAAAGCACCCCCTTACCATAACACCTCCTCCTCCATGCTTTACCGTGGGAACTACACATGCAGAGATCATCCGTTCACCCACACCGCGTTTCACAAAGACACAAATCTCCAATTTGGACTCCAGACCAAAGGACACATTTCCATCGGTCTAATGTCATCCATTGCTCGTGTTTCTTGGCCCAAGCAGGTCTCTTCTTCTTATTGGTGTCCTTTAGTAGTGGTTTCTTTGCAGCAATTCGACCATGAAGGCCTGATTCACACAGTCCCCTCTGAACAGTTGATGTTGAGATGTGTCTGTTACTTTAACTCTGTGAAGCATTTATTTGGGCTGCAATTTCTGAGGCTGGTAAGTCTAATGAACGTATCCTCTGCAGCAGAGGTAACTCTGGGTCTTCCATTCCTGTGGCGGTCCTCATGAGAGCCAGTTTCATCATAGTTCTTGATGGTTTTTGCGACTGCACTTGAAGAAACTTCAAAAGTTCTTGAAATGTTCCGTATTGACTGACCTTCATGTCTTAAAGTAATGATGGACTGTCGTTTCTCTTTGCTTATTTGAGCTGTTCTTGTCAATACGGATTTGGTCTTTTACCAAATAGGGCTATCTTCTGTATACCCCCCCTACCTTGTCACAACACAACGGATTGGCTCAAACACATTAAGACGGAAATAAATTCCACAAATTAACTTTTAAGAAGGCACACCCTTGTTAATTGAAATGCATTCCAGGTGACTACCTAATGAAGCTGGTTGAGAGAATGCCAAGAGTGTGCAAAGCTGTCATCAAGGCAAAGGGTGGCTTATTTGAAGAATCTCAAATATAACATATATTTTGATTTGTTGAACACTTTTTTGGTTACTACATGACTCCATATGAGTTATGTCATAGTTTTGATGTCTTCACAATTATTCTACAATGTAGAAAATAGTAAAAATAAAGAAAAACCCTTGAATGAGTAGGTGTTCTAAAACTTTTGATTGGTAGTGTATATATATATTAGAAAGTACTACTATGAGGACGACTATTAGGATTTTACTTCACAGTACATAAAAAAAGATTTGTATATTGACAAAATCAGAGATGTACAGTATGCAAAAAATCTAATCAAATCAAAGTTTATTGGTTGCGTACACAAATTAGCAGATGTTACAGCAGGTGCAGCGAAATGCTGGTGTTTCTAGCTCCTACAGTGCAGTAATACAATAGCAATACAATACCAATACACAAATAATCCAGAAAAAAATCCATCCCCTATACAGTAAGCATGTACCAAAATGAAGTTGCTGGGCTCTTTTTGATGGGGTGGGGGTGGGTTCACACTGCTTTACAAAAATTGCATTGGCCAATACAGTACTGTAATGCTGTAATATATGCAATTTACGTAGCAGACACTTTCATCCAAAGTGACAAAATTTCACATATTTTGGTATGTGACCCCAGTGGGAATCAAACCCACAACTCTGGTGTTGCCATGAACTTATGAACTGAGCCATGTACAGGACCACTAGAATACATACAGTGCCTTCGGAAAGTATTCAGACCCCTTGACTTTTTCCACATTTTGTTACGTTTCAGCCTTGTTCTAAAATGTATTAAATGTCCTCATCGATCTACAAATAATACCCTATAATGACATAGCGAAAACAGGTTTTTAGAAAATGTTGCTAATGTATATTAAAACAATTGTAATACCTTATTTACAAAAGTGTTCAGACCCTTTGCTATGAGACTCGAAATTGAACTCAGGGGCATCCTGTTTCCATTGATCATCGTTGAGATGTTTCTACAACTTGATTGGAGTCTACCTGTCGTAAATTCAATTGATTTGACATGATTTGGAAAGGCACACTCCTGTCTATATAAGGTCCCACAGTTGACAGTGCATGTCATAGCAAAAACCAAGACATGAGGTGGAAGGAATTGTCCGTAGTGTTCCAAGACAGGATTGTGTCGAGGCACAGGTCTGGGGAAGTGTACCAAAAAATGGCTGCAGCATTGAAGGTCCCCAAGAACACAGTGGCCTCCATCATTCTTGAATGGAAGAAGTTTGGAACCACCAAGACTCTTACTAGAGCAATCGGGGGAGAAGTGCCTTGGTCAGGGAGGTGACCAAGAACCCGAAGGTCACTCTGAAAGAGCTCCAGAGTTCCTCTGTGGAGATGGGAGAACCTTCCAGAAGGACAACCATCTCTGCATCACTCCACAAATCAGGCCTTTATGGTAGAGTGGCCAGACAGAAGCCACTCCTCAGTAAAATACTCTCAAACCATGAGAACCAAGATTCTCTGGTCTGATGAAACCAAGATTGAATGCCAAGTGTCACGTCTGGAGGAAACCTGGCACCATCCCTACTGTGAAGCATGGTGGAGGCAGAATTATGCTGTAGGGATGTTTTTCAGCAGCAGGGACTGGGAGACTAGTCAGGCTTGAGGGAAAGATTAAGTACATAGAGATCCTTGATGAAAACCTGCTCCAGAGCGCTCAGGACCTCAGACTTGGGCAAAGGTTCACCTTCAAACAGGACAACGACCCTAAGCACACAGCCAAGACAACGCAGGAGTGGCTTCGGGACAAGTCTCTGAATGTCCTTGAGTGGCCCAGCCAGAGCCCGGACTTGAACCCAATCTAACATCTCTGGAGAGACCTGAAAATATCTGTGCAGCGACGCTCCCCATCCAACCTGACAGAGCTTGAGAGTATCTGCAGAGAAAAATGGGAGAAACTCCCCAAATACAGGTGTGCCAAGCTTGAAGCGTCATATCCAAAAAATCTCCAGGCTGTAATAGCTGCCCAAGGTGCTTCAACAAAGTACTGAGTAAATGGTCTGAATACTTATGTAAATGTAATATTTCAGTTTTTTATTTTAAATACATTTGCAAAAATTTCTAGAAACCTGTTTTTGCTTTGTCATTATGGGGTATTGTGTGTAGATTAATGCATACAATTTAATCAATTTTAGTAGAAGGCTGTAACATAACCAAATGTGGAAAAAGTCAAGGGGTCTAAATACATTCCGAAGGCACTGTATGTACAATACGATACTGTAAAATACAATACACAAATACAGAGCAGTATGTTACTTTTTAGGTGTCCACAAGTTTGCACCTATTCTTGCAATAACTGGGGAAATTGGCTGGGAACCCTGTGAGGTGAGATGGAAGGTGTGTATGGTGAGACTTTGGAATAGACTGTTGGATATGCCAACTGCCAGTAGCCACCCTTTGCCTTGATGACAGCTTTGCACACTCTTGGCACAGTGGTCTAAAGCACTGCATCGCAGTGCTAGTTGTGCCACTAGAGATCCTGGTTCGAATCCAGGCTCTGTCGTAGCCGGCCGTGACCGGGAGACCCATGGAGCGGCGCACAACTGGCCCAGCGTCGTCCAAGGTATGGGAGGGAATGGCCGGCAGGGATGTAGCTCAGTTGGTAGAGCATGGCGTTTGCAATGCCAGGATTGTGGGTTTGATTCCCACGGGGGGCCAGTATGAAATCAAATCAAAAAAATAATAATAATGTATGCACTCACTACCTGTAAGTCGCTCTGGATAAGAGCGTCTGCTAAATGACTAAAATGTAAATGCAAAAATCTCTCAACCAGCTTCATGAGGGAGTAACCTGGAATGCATTTAAATTAACAGGTGTGCCTTGTTAAAAGTTAATTTGTGGAATTTCTTTCCGTCTTTATGTGTTTGAGCCAATCAGTTGTGTTGTGACAAGGTAGGGGGGGTTTACAGAAGATAGCCCTATTTGGTAAAATACCAAGTCTATTTATGGCAAGAACAGCTCAAATAAGCAAAGAGAAATGACAATCCATCATTACTTTAAGATATGAAGGTCAGTCAATCTGGAAAATGTCAAGAACTTTTAAACTTTCTTCAAGTGCAGTCGCAAAAACCATCAAGCACTATGATGAAACTGGCTCTCATGAGGACCGCCACAGGAAAGGAAGACCCAGAGTTACTTCTGCTGCAGAGGATAAATTCATTAGAGTTAACTGCACCTCAGATTGCAGCCCAAATAAATGCTTCACAGAGTTCAAGTAACAGACACATCTCAACATCAACTGTTCAGAGGAGAATGTGTGAATCAGTCCTTCATGGTCGAATTGCTGCAAAGAAACCACTACTAAAGGACACCAATAAGAAGAAGAGACTTGTTTGGGCCAAGAAACACGAGCAATGGACATTAGACCAGTGGAAATCTGTCCTTTCGTCTGATGAGTCCAAATTTGAGATTATTGGTTCCAACCGCCGTGTCTTTGTGAGACGCAGAGTAGGTGAACGGATGATCTCCGCATGTGTGGTTCCCACCGTGAAGCATGGAGGAGGAGGTGTGATGGTGTGGGGGTGCTTTGCTGGTGACACTGTCTGTGATTTATTTAGAATTCAAGGCACACTTAACCAGCATGGCTACCACAGCATTCTGCAGCGATACGCCATCCCATCTGGTTTGCAGTTAGTGGGACTATCATTTGTTTTTCAACAGGACAATGACCCGAAACACACCTCCAGGCTGTGTAAGGGCTTTTTGACCAAGGAGAGTAATGGAGTGCCGCATCAGATGACCTGGCCTCCACAATCCCCCGACCTCAACCCAATTGAGATGGTTTGGGATGAGTTGGACCGCAGAGTGAAGGAAAAGCATCCAACAAGTGCTCAGCATGTGTGAACTCCTTCAAGACTGTTGGAAAAGCGTTCCTCACGAAGCTGGTTGAGAGAATGCCAAGAGTGTGCAAAGCTGTTATCAAGGCAAAGGGTGGCTACTTTAAAGAATCTAAAATCTAAAATATATTTTGATTTGTTTAACACTTTGTTGGTTACTACATGATTCCATATGTGTTATTTCATAGTTTTGATGTAGAAAATAGTCAAAATAAAGAAAAACCCTTGAAAGAGTAGGTGTGTCCAAACTTTTGACTGGTACTGTATGTGTGTATGTATTGATTTGTACCTTTAATTGTTTCACTCTTTATGCGATGCACACTGCAGAGAACACTGGAAGAAGAATTGTCACTGAATTACCACAGTGAATTATTGTAATGTTTGTTTATGTGTCAATTAATCCCATAAGGGATGGGTTGCCAATTGCCGATTTGACACGAAAAAAAATGAAAAAAAGTAATAATTCATTACAATACAAGAAGATGTATGATTTCCATCCCCATGAGTGAACCACCCTCCTTCAGGCCATGGATGAGGCATGCAATGATTTCAATCCAGACCTATGTCAGGTTTTGATTCAACATGCCAAAAGGTTTTTCCCCAGTTGCATGAACAATGAGGATATTTTCTGCGATATTGATGAGAACCTATGGCCAAATGCTCAAGACAGGCATGATGCAAACTAGTGCCTTCTAAACATGATGTTTCTTTCATGAAATATGTGAAAGATGTCGTCAATGATCACACCTTTGATCACACATGGGTAGTGCAAGTGTATTGCCTAATGTGAAAACAGTGTAATCTACTGTCATTTACAGTACTGTAGCATACTACATTCAAAGGGAAATTTTGAAACATGTATCTTAAATGTTTTGCTATTGAATTAACTGGTTGTTAAAATAACTAAATTGAGAAGATATCACTAAGTTGTGTTTTGGTGATTAAACCAATCTACTCATTATATTTCACAGTGAATGCACAATAAAAGGTTTTGAATGTAAGACTGGCTGCGTAAAGCTGTCAGCATGCTTCAGTTCGGCTGGCGCCAAGCGGCTAGCCGAACCGAACGAGTGTGCTCGCATACTCCTTTAAAAGACCTTTGCTTGAAAAACGAGAAAAAAGCGGCAGTAGTACTGTTTGTCCATTTTGAAACGCCGTAGACAGAATACACTTCAAAAAAATTGATAACTCAAGAAATCTGTCATTAATTTTAACGTTTTTGCAAAATAAATCTTAATCTCGCAATTTTACATCTAACTAAGATGTTTGGTGCAGTCTCTTGTTGAATGACAACAAATAATTGATTAAAGAATCCCTACTGTTGACCAATCACCGACAAAGGGGCATAGACTTCGGCTCTGAACTTCGGCTTGCCTCCAGAACGAACAAAAACGTCACAAAATGTTGTCATAATAAATACACGAACTCTACCAAACTTTTTGGAGTGAGAAGCATGAGAACGCCTTAACAAGTGTTACCAGTTTGGAGATTTGTACTAAGAGTTTTGAAGATTCCCCACATACTTGTGAAAATAGTATTAAAAAAACGATAAAAAAAACGATAAAAAAAACTCTTAGTTCTGCATTGACTAGAACAGCTAGATTATTATTAGAACATCAATTTCAGTTGTTATACTTACACAATTAAATTGGAAGTTTTTATTGCACTTCATGGGGTAAGCACCCCTTTTAGGTGCTGTTACTTCCTCCTAAATTGTATTTGAACACATACATTCTGATGTTCATATAACTCAGAAAGGAATAAAATATCCACTGGTTCCCATAACAGCAGAGTAAAAGAGACATTTCACTTAAGGGCCTAAGAGGTACTGTATGTTATTTATTTCATGGGGTGCTTCCTAAATGGCTCTGGTCAAAAGTAGTGCACTACAGTATATAGGGAATAGGGTGCCATTTCAGATGCAGACTTACGGGTAATTGCCTGACAAAAACATTCTCCAGGCCTCCAAGGACCTGCATGGCCGTGGCGAAGTCTCTCGATTCATAGCAGTGTTTGGCAATTAACAGAAACTTGGTGAGCAAAGCCGCTTGGGTCTGCAGCAAGAAAAGAAGAGCAGAGATTCTATGGTCAAGCATTCACACAAATCATTATAGAAAACAAAGAATACATCATAGAAGTGCATCTGATGGCTATCATGTAATTAGATTTAATGGACAATGACTGACTTTGAAAATAAATAAATATTAGTGTGTTTGTGTGTGTGTGTGTATGTGTTGAATAAATGACATACATGTAGATAGAGATCAAACAGTAATGTCCAACAGAGTTGTATCCCCATTACTAGCAGATCTCACCTTTATCGAATCACAGATGACGATTTCAGCAGAGACCCAGTTGGAGACGCTGTCAGCATATCTCAGTAGCTGTTGGAGGTGGCTGTCCTGTGGCGTTTCCTCATTAACAAATAAACTACTGCCTTCTACTGGAAGTATAGAGTGTGACACATGTCTGTTGGAAAAGAGAGTGGCAGTCAGACTAGATTGTCAGGGATGCAATGACTGACTGTCACTAACGTCTCATAATCTAGCAAGTTATGTTTGTTTCAGATTATGCATTCTGGTATATTCATTTGGTACTTTAAACAAATTTGACGAGAATGCCACTGAAATATTTGGACCAAAGGGAATATTTACTCACTTGGTGACACTAAAAGATTTGTCCCCGACTCCTTGAGCTCTAGAGTTGAGGAAATGAATGGGGTGACAGCCTTGAAACATTTCCTGCATTTGGAAAAAAAATAAAACCAAGAAATTATGTTTCACATTTATATATAGGTCTGTGAATTTGTTTTAAATCCATAAAGTAGTGATTTGTCTCCCCCCAGTGTTTATAAATAACAATGTGTTTGTGGTTTGTGAGTGAGTGTGAATGCATGAGAGAGGGAGAAATTGTGTGTGTCTGTTTACCTGTTACTGCAGGATGATTTGGTGGGCTGTGTGTGTGTGTACCTGCTGCAGTAGAGTGAGTTGCTGTGCCGTGTGTTGGGCGCTGTGTTCACTCTGACTAAAGGGGTGTCTCTCCTCGCTTCTGAGGCGGGCACTGGAGATGTCATCCATAAGGGAGGTGTAGCAGGGCCGCGGCAGGGCTGCTGCTATGGAGTAGGCCTGGTCTTTGGTCTGGGTCGCCTGGGGCTCCACCACCCTGGATATTCTCCACTGGAAACTCTACAGAGATACATCAACTTAGAAAGGTTCCGTCTGTGAATACATATACTGAACAAAAATATGAATGCAATATGCAACAATTTAAAAGATTTTGCTGAGTTATAGTTCATATAAGGAAATCAGTTAATTGAAATCAATTCATTAGGCCCTAATCTATGGATTTCACATGACTGGGCAGGGATGCAGCCATGGGCCCACACAATCAGAATACGTTTTTCCCCACAAAAGGGCTTTATTACAGACAGAAATACTCCTCAGCAACCCGCCCCCCCCCCCCCCCCCCCCCCCCCCCCCCTCAGACGAGCCCGCAGGTGAAGAAGCCAGATGTGAGGGTCCTGGGCTGACGTGGCTACACGTGGTCTGCGGTTGTGAGGCCGGTTTGACGTACTGCCAAATTCTCTAAAACGACGTTGGACGCGGCTTATGGTAGAAAAATGAATGTTCAATTCTCTGGAAACAGCTCTGGTGGACATTCCTGCAGTCAGCATGCCAATTGCACGCTCCCTCAAAACTTGAGACATCTGTGGCATTGTGTGACAAAACTGCACATTTTAGAGTGGCCTTTTTTTGTCCCCAGCACAAGGTGCACCTGTGTAATGATCATGCTGTTTAATCAGCTTCTTGATATGCCACACCTGTCAGGTGGATGGATTATCTTGACAAAGGATAAAATGCTCACTAACAGGGATGTAAACAAATTTGTGCACAACATTTGAGAGAAATAAGCTTTTTGTGCGTAATGAAAATATCTGGGATCTTTTTTATTTCAGCTCATGAAACATGGGACCAGCACTTTACATGTTGCATTTATATTTTTGTTCAGTGTATATACACCATTGTCGTACTCATTAGGGCAGACTGTACTAAAAATGATAACAAAAAGTGGTTCATATTGGACAAGTCCAGGTAGTCTCTCCTTTATTCAGTCTGTTTTCTTCGGTTTGGTGCTAATGTAACGGATTCATTCGTGTAATTACATTTACATTTACGTCATTTAGCAGACGCTCTTATCCAGAGCGACTTACAAATTGGTGCATTCACCTTATCTTTAAAGTTTTTATTTATTTAATGTATTTATTTATTTATTTATTTATTGTGGGGGTGGGGTAGGGGGGGGGGGTAGAATGATTACTTTTATACTATCCCAGGTATTCCTTAAAGAGGTAGGGTTTCAAGTGTCTCCGGAAGGTGGTCAGTGACTCCGCTGTCCTAGCGTCGTGGGGGAGCTTGTTCCACCATTGGGGTGCCAGAGCAGCAAACAGTTTTGACTGGGCTGAGCGGGAACTGTGCTTCCGCAGAGGTAGGGGGACCAGTAGGCCAGAGGTGGAAGAACGCAATGCCCTCGTTTGGGTGTAGGGTCTGATCAGAGCCTGAAGGTAAGGAGGTGCCGTTCCCCTCACAGCTCCGTAGGCAAGCACCATGGTCTTGTAGCAGATGCGAGCTTAAACTGGAAGCCAGTGGAGTGTGCAGAGGAGCGGGGTGACATGAGAGAACTTGGGAAGGTTGAACACCAGACGGGCTGCAGCGTTCTGGATGAGTTGTAGGGGTTTAATGGCACAGGCAGGGAGCCCAGCCAACAGCGAGTTGCAGTAATCCAGACGGGAGATGACAAGTGCCTGGATTAGGACCTGTGCCGCTTCCTGTGTAAGGTAGGGTTGTACTCTGCGAATGTTGTAGAGCATGAACCTACAGGATCGGGTCACCGCTTTGATGTTAGCGGAGAACGACAGGGTGTTGTCCAGGGTCACGCCAAGGTTCTTTGCACTCTGGGAGGTGGACACAATGTAGTTGTCAACCGTGATGGCGAGATCATGGAGCGGGCAGTCCTTCCCCGGGAGGAAGAGCAGCTCCGTCTTGCCGAGGTTCAGCTTGAGGTGGTGATCCGCCATCCACACTGATATGTCTGCCAGACATGCAGAGATGCGATTCGCCACCTGGTTATCAGAAGGGGGAAAGGAGAAGATTAATTGTGTGTCATCTGCGTAGCAATGATAGGAGAGACCATGTGAGGATATGACAGAGCCAAGTGACTTGGTGTATAGAGAGAATAGGAGAGGGCCTAGAACTGAGCCCTGAGGGACACCACTGGAGACAGATTCTCGCCACGCCACCTGGTAGGAGCGACCTGTCAGGTAGGACGCAATCCAAGAGTGAGCCGCGCCGGAGATGCCCAACTCAGAGAGGGTGGAGAGGAGGATCTGAAGGTTCACAGTATCAAAGGCAGCAGATAGGTCTAGAAGGATGAGAGCAGAGGAGAGAGAGTTAGCTTTAGCAGTGCGGAGAGCCTCCGTGACACAGAGAAGAGCAGTCTCAGTTGAATGACCAGTCTTGAAACCTGACTGGTTTGGATCAAGAAGGTCATTCTGAGAGAGATAGCAGGAGAGTTGGCTATAGACGGCACGCTCAAGAGTTTTGGAGAGAAAAGGAAGAAGGGATACTGGTCTATAGTTTTTGACATCAGAGGGATCGAGTGTAGGTTTTTTGAGGAGGGGTGCAACTCTCGCTTTCTTGAAGATGGAAGGGACATAGCCAGCGTAGAAGGATGAGTTGATGAGCGAGGTGAGGTAAGGGAGAAGGTCTCCGGAAATGGTCTGGAGAAGAGAGGAGGGGATAGGGTCAAGCGAGCCGGTTATTGGGCGGCCGGCCGTCACAAGTCACAAGATTTCATCTGGAGAGAGAGGGGAGAAAGAAGTCAAAGCATAGGGTAGGGCAGTGTGAGCAGGACCAGTGGTGTCATTTGACTTAATAAATGAGGATCGTGTAATGAATACGATGCAGCTCTGATGGTCCCCATCAGTTGAAATGCATGTTAGTGTAAATGGGTTCCTTTTGAGCAAGACAAACTTTCAGTACTTTGGACCAATCAGATGCTTTTTGGTTCAGGTAAGAAAAACAACATCACCAACATAATAGTACACGTATAATAATCCTTATATGGACCTTCCTTCCAGAGTCCTCAATATATGATTTTCTGCATAAGGTATGGACAGACAGTGCATCATCTTCCTCCTGCATGCTGATTGGGCTCCCACAGCCTTGGCTCCACCTCTTCCTGGGAGAGCTCTGAAGAGTGGTCAGAAGCCTCTCTCCTCTGCTGTCTACTGGAGACACCTAAATAAGAACCAAATCATTACAAAAACATTGTTTAAGAGTATTGTATTTCTAAATACTCTGAAAAATTGGCAACAAATGCAACCACAATAACATCAACAAAAACAACTATACTGCTACAGATTTAGCTGATTAGTTGAGCCATTAATCTGATGATGAATTTACTTGCTTGAGTGATTGGTTTTATCATTTAATTGCTTTGTCATTAATTGATGATTGATCTTTAATTACTTCATTGGTGAGAAAGTTTTTCAGTGTCATCAGCAGGCTGGACTTGCGGCTGAAGTCCACCAGTCTGCAGTCAGTCAGCCAGGTTTGCAGCACGTCCAGACTCCGATGGTACACCTTAGCACGGTCCCCTGACACATCTGGACCACCTCTGGTAGAAAAAGCAATATGAAGATCGCATAGATAACCACAAATAAGCACAGAAATATAATTACTAGACCGGACATTCTAATTACACAGATTATGAGATTAAATATGAAAATGAGCTATAGTCGAGCCTAATTTATTTCAATCTTTGGCATACTTTTACTTTCTCGGACATAGCTCAGTTGTGGTTTTTATGAGATTTAAAAAGCTGTCATTATTACAAAAGAGTAAAATAAATTCAGGACAGCTTTTATTCAGATCTCCCCTGGAAGTAGAATTTAGATTTTCAGCCTGGGTCAGGCCTGATATTCTGAGAATTGATTCCGGCCTGGGCTTGGATTTTTTGCGACAAGATTGCATGTTTGGAGACCAACGCTACTGTAGTAAGAAAGAAATGTGTCTGTAGTCTATCTCTCTCCCTCTCTGTGCTAGACATGAGCCTGCAACGCTCTCTGCAGCTATCCATCCAGCCCAGAACACAACTTCCTCTAGAGCAGCATTTCTCAATCCATTCCAAGGGGTACACATTTTTGGTTCTTATCTATTCCAGACCAGAACCCCATCTAGCTGGCGTCGCTATTGTCCGTTTCTGGGCTTGAGACCCGCTAAAAAACATAAAAGAAAAGGACAACACGGAAATAGAATTGGAGGCAGGGTTGTCTTGATTTTCAACATTCCTTGTATGGACTAAAGATCCATTGAACTGAGTACCCATCTCAAGGGTCCACTCAAAATGTCTAAACTCCAGTCTTTAAGTGTGTTTTTGAATGAGCTTTTAACGGTGGTTGCCGTCAACATTTTTGAGGTAGTAGAGAAAGTGGTAGCAGAGTACCAGGAGATCTAAAGAGGATAATGACCAGCTATGGAGACTGTTATGGATCACACCAGAGTTAAAACTATGTAGAATAGACTCCCTCCAGTACTCTCTCATTGTCTCTGAGGAGGTTACGCCTGAGCACTGCATGCAGGAGTGGAGCCCAGCCTGGAGCAGGAGGACCCAGAGCCCACACAGATTAAGGAGGAACAGGAGGAACTTAGGACCAGTCAGGAGGAAGAGCAGCTTCAAGGGCTTTTTGACACCAAAGACTCCATATTCACTCCTCCCTTTGTGAAAAGGGAATGTGATCAGGAGGACAGAGAGAGTGACTCTAAACCATTGGATCTCAAACCATTTCACACTGTGAGCCCCCTAATGGGTCTCGACATTGCCTGTGACACTCCAGATAATCAAAACAATGCCTCCAGTCACAGCTCAGCCATAAGCAGTGACTAGGACTTGACATCAGTCTACCATTGGATCCCAACCCACCATTGGATCCCAATGAACCATTGGATCCCAACCCACCATTGGATGCCAACCTACCAATGGATCCCAAAACACCATTGAGGAAACCCAGCACTAAACCCAGCATCTCGTCTAAAAAACCTGCAAAATATAAAATGCTTCACTCAGATTGGTAGCACACACACACACACACACTTGAGGATTCACTCAGAGGCCAAACCATTTAGCTGTGGTTACTGTGAAAAAAGCTTCAAGTATTTGGGAAACCTAACCAAACATATAAGGACTCACACAGGAGAGAAAGCATTTATCTGTGGTGACTGTGGGAAAAGCTTTGATCGCAAGGGGACCCTGAACAGGCACATACTGTTTGTCCACAAATAAAGAAAACAGGACAAAAACGGAAAGAAGAAAATAAATTAGGCACACGAGAGATCTTCTGTCAGGAGAGTGGCGCAGTGGTCTAAGGCACTGCATCGCAGTGCTAGCTGTACCACTAGAGATCCTGGTTCGAATCAGTGCATTATGTGCATTATGCACTGTATTTTTAAACACCATTTATAGAGTATGACATACACATATAGATGACTTGTGAAGACATGTACAGTCGTCGTCAAAAGTTTTGAGAATGACACAAATACTAATTTCACAAAGTCTGCTGCCTCAGTTTTGATGATGGCAATTTGGATATACTACAGAATGTCATGAAAATGAACTTAATCCCCAAAAAACATTTGCACTACATTTCAGCCCTGCCACAAAAGGACCAGCTGACATCATGTCAGTGATTCTTTCGTTAACACAGGTGAGAGTGTTGACGGGGACAAGGCTGGAGATCACTCTGTCATGCTGATTGAGTTAGAATAACAGACTGGAAGCTTTAAAAGGAGGGTGGTGCTTGAAATCATTGGTCTTCCTCTGTTAACCATGGTTACCTGCAAGGAAACACGTGCCGTCATCATTGCTTTGCACAAAAAGGGCATTACAGGCAAGGATATTGCTGCTAGTAAGTTTGCACCGAAATCAAACATTTATCGGATCATCAAGAACTTCAAGGAGAGAGGTTCAATTGTTGTGAAGAAGGCATCAGGGCGCCCAAGAAAGTCCAGCAAGCGCCAGGACCGTCTCCTAAAGTTGATTCAGCTGCGGGATCGGGGAACCACCAGTGCAGAGCTTGCTCAGGAATGGCAGCAGACAGGTGTGAGTGCATCTGCACACACAGTGAGGCGAAGACTTTTGGAGGATGGCCTGGTGTCAAGAAGGGCAGCAAAGAAGCCACTTCTCTCCAGGAAAAACATCAGGGACAGACTGATATTCTGCAAAAGGTACAGGGATTGGACTGCTGAGGACTGGGGTAAAGTCATTTTCTCTAATGAATCCCCTTTCCGATTGTTTGGGGCATCCGGAAAACACCTTGGCCGGAGAAGACAAGGTGAGTGCTACCATCAGTCCTGTGTCATGCCAACAGTAAAGCATCCTGAGACCATTCATGTGTGGGGTTGCTTCTCAGCCAAGGGAGTGAGCTCACTCACAATTTTGCCTAAGAACACAGCCATGAATAAAGAATGGTACCAACACATCCTCCGAGAGCAACTTCTCCCAACCATCCAAGAACAGTTTGGTGACAATCAATGCCTTTTCCAGCATGATGGAGCACCTTGCCATGAGGCAAAAGTATTAACTAAGTGGCTCGGGGAACAAAACATCAACATTTTGGGTCCATGGCCAGGAAACTCCCCAGAACTTAATCCCATTGAGAACTTGTGGTCGATCCTCAAGAGGCGGGTGGACAAACAAAAACCCACAAATTCTGACAAACTCCAAGCATTGATTATGCAAGAATGGGCTGCCATCAGTCAGGATGTGGCCCAGAAGTTAATTGACAGCATGCCAGGGCGGATTGCAGAGGTCTTGAAAAAGAAGGGTCAACACTGCAAATATTGACTCTTTGCATAAACTTCATGTAATTATCAATAAAAGCCTTTGACACTTATGGAATGCTTGTAATTATTCTTCAGTATACCATAGTAACATCTGACAAAAATATCTCATTACACTGAAGCAGCGAACTTTGTGAAGACCAATACTTGTGTCATTCTCAAAACTTTTGACCACGTCTGTACAGTTGAAGTCGGAAGTTTACATACACCTTAGCCAAATACATTTAAACTCAGTTTTCCCATTCCTGACATTTAATCCTAGTAAAAATTCCCTGTTTTAGGTCAGTTAGGATCACCACTTTATTCTAAGAATGTGAAATGTCAGAATAATAGAAGAGAGAATCATTTATTTCAGCTTTTATTTCTTTCATCACATGTTTACATACACTCAATTAGTATTTGGTAGCATTGCCTTTAAATTGTTTAACTTGGGTCAAATGTTTCGGGTAGCCTTCCACAAGCTTCCCACAATAAGTTGGGTGAATTTTGGCCCATTTCTCCTGACAGAGCTGGTGTAACTGAGTCAGGTTTGTAGGCCTCCTTGCTCGCACACGCTTTTTCAGTTCTGCCCACAAATGATCTATAGGATTGAGGTCAGGGCTTTGTGATGGCCACTCCAACACCTTGACTTTGTTGTCCTTAAGCCATTTTGCCACAACTTTGGAAGTATGCTTGGGGTCATTGTCCATTTGGAAGACCCATTTGCGACCAAGCTTTAACTTCCTGACTGATGTCTTGAGATGTTGCTTCAATATATCCATATCATTTTCCTTCCTCGTGATGCCATCTATTTTGTGAAGTGCACCATCCCTCCTGCAGCAAAGCACCCCCACAGCATGATGCTGCCACCCCCGTGCTTCACAGTTGGGATGGTGTCCTCCCGAGTGGCACAGTGGTCTAAGGCACTGCATCACAGTGCTAGCTGTGCCACTAGAGATCCTGGTTCGAATCCAGGCTCTGTCGTAGCCGGCCGCGACCGGGAGACCCATGGGGCGGCGCACAATTGGCCCAGTGTCGTCCAGGGTAGGGGAGGGAATGGCCGGCAGGGATGTAGCTGGTTTTGGAGCAGTGGCTTCTTCCTTGCTGAGAGGCCTTTCAGGTTATGTCAATATAGGACTCGTTTTACTGTGGATATAGACACTTTTGTACCGGTTTCCTCCAGCATCTTCACAGGGTCCTTTGCTGTTGTTCTGGGATTGATTTGCACTTTTCGCACCAAAGTACGTTCATCTCTAGGAGACAAAACGCGTCTCTTTCCTGAGCGGTATGACGGCTGCGTGGTCCCATGGTGTTTATACTTGCGTACTATTGTTTGTACAGATGAACGTGGTACCTTCAGGCGTTTGGAAATTGGTCCCAAGGATTAACCAGATTTGTGGAGGTCTACAATTTTTTTTTGTTGGCTGATTTCCTTTCATTTTCCCATGATGTCAAGCAAAGAAATACTGGAAATACATCCACAGGTACACCTCCAATTGACTCAAATGATGTCAATTAGCCTATCAGAAGCTTCTAAAGCCATGACATCATTTTCTGGAATTTTCCAAGCTGTTTAAAGGCACAGTCAACTTAGTGTATGTAAACTTCTGACCCACTGGAATTGTGATACAGTGAATTATAGTGAAATAATCTGTCTGTAAACAATTGTTGGTAAAATGACTTGTGTCATGCACAAAGTAGATGTCCTAACCGACTTGCCAAAACTATAGTTTGTTAACAAGAAATTTGTGGAGTGGTTGAAAATGACTCCAACCTAAGTTTATGTAAACTTCCGACTTCAACTGTATGTAGTGCTTATACTGTAAGTTGTACTTCATTAAAAGTGGGACCTATCCTATATAAATACAGTTAGATTTTATTGGATTTTAATGATGATGTAATGATCAAGCAGTACAGAGTTTGGTTGAAACCATGGACAATTGTGCTGAAGTCCTAGGAAATGCTGGATCCAGCTGAATGGCTAGTTGAATTGTTTGGCCCAATCAAACTTTGATAATATCAGTCTATTATTGCAACAAAGGACTTCCATTTTGGATTCATACACTCAAGAGAGTAATAATTCATAACATTTCAAAAATTGTGGAAGAATGTTAGACTTATCCCAGGACCAGGTTACTGGTTCTGAATATGTTATCAATGTTAAACCATTCTGTTCAGTTTTCTTGAAGTAAATTGAACATGAAAAGTATGATAGACTGCAGTTAAAATGCAGCTTTCATGCCAATATAATTTTTGGTGAACAAAAATGTGATCCTTGTTTATACAGGCCCATGTTTACAGTTCTCTTACTTGACCTCATTATAATGTCATAGCAGATAGTTAAAGTAGCTCTGACAATTTGGCCTTTTTCTAAAAATATTTTTTCAAAGTGGCCATTAATTTTCTTATTGTTTCTGTCAAATGCCAATTATAATATATCAATTAGCATTTTACCATAGAACTAGAATTACTTGACCAGACATTCTAATTCCACAGAATCAAATAACCATAGAAATAGAATGACTAGAATGGACACCATCCAAAGAGCATGAAATTCAATTGTGTTTTATGTCTGTCTGTCTTTATTTCTGCTACAGTAGCCTACATACCCTGCTGCTGCTGCATTGGTGAATTTGTCCATCAGGAACTGAAGGAGTTCTTGAGGGGTGCAGAAATAGCGGAACGTGTACAGGAACTGTTGGATGTAGCCCTCCAATGGAGCATTTCTGTCAGAGGAGGAGATAGAACACAGAGTTTAGTTTGGTATCTGTTGAATGTGATCTCACTACACAACATGTCTGGAAGAATTAGGACAAATCACAATGAAACACGTTTGGACACAGATATAAATAAACAGAAATGTCTGTTTGTGCCCTATGTAGGATATAATGTAAAATGTTCTCAGCAATCACAGGCATGATGGTGGAGGGTAAACTTTGGTGCTCAGTTTAACACATTGACCACTAGAGGGCCACCATTTAAACTATACTTGCTAATGCACTGTTAATCACACTCATGGGTTTAATAGTTCATGTATTACTGTAACCTAAACGTGTTACTGTAACCTGTTAACCTGTTACTGTAAGCTGATATATAGTTAATTAGTGTTACCTGGCATAGAGGTAGGACATGAGACCCAGGGGTGTGGCGGACTGCAGGCTGCTCTTCCCTCTCCCTTCCCCAGACAAAGACACCAATCCCAGCACGGCAGGCTCCTCTGAGGGCTGGAGATCCAGAGGGCTCCCTGGACCAGAGGCTGCCAGGGAGGGGAGGAGGGACACATCCATACCCCACTGATCCACACTCAGAACCTGACCAAAACAACCAGGCAGATGCACATTAAAAACAACTGGTTCTATTTAGTGCCAAATAAGGGTTATTTGGCTTGCAACCATAGCGGAAACCTTTTTAGTGAACCATGCTCATAAGGTTCTAAATGGAACCTGTATGGTGCTACAAAGAACACTTTCCTAAGGTTTTATAAAGAAGCATAAAAAAAGGTTCTATATTCCGCTATGGTTACAACCCTTTTGGGGTATATATATAACCATTTTATATGGTACTTTATAAACCTTTTATGGAGAATGGTTCTATAAACAACCTTTTTCAATCTCAAAGGTTCTTTGTAGAACCATACATGTTTTTTATTCTGGTTTAATAGCCATATTATATTGTTACAACTCCATAGGTTTTATTATTGTGTTTATTAACAAGTTGAATCTAGTGATGGGTGTTCGCGAACGAACAGCTCTTTTTGAACAGATCATTTTGGTGAACGTCGGGAACCGAATCGCATCGGTGAAAGAGCCGTTCATTTGGCTCCCTGATTTGTATACTGCTACTACCGTTTTTTTAGCTTAAAACAATGTTTTTCTCCAGATAAGTTATAAAATAATTCTCCAAAGAGGGTGAATCCTCACTTAGAAACAATAAATAGTGGGGAGAGCACATCAATCTGGTCCACGTAGATTGTTTCAGTGCGTTTTTTTTTTTTTTTTTGCAGGCCATCTAATAATTTGGCCAGGTAAAAAAATAACTTTTAGGCTTTACATTGGAGATTTGCAATTTTTTCATGGTTCTAGGTAGATTTTTAAGCATTTTCTTTAACTAAGAGCCATTTGGAAGCAGAATGAGCCGGCTCTTTTACGTGAAGCCGACTCACCGAGAAGACTCGGAATGCCCATCACTAGTTGAATCAGATGTGCTAGCTCTGGAATGGTTGGGGGTCCCTGAGGAAAGAATTGAGAACTACCGACTTAGTCAACTGTTCTCAATTGACACAAGGCTATACATGAGTCTTTCACAAGACACAGGGCCGGATTAAGAAAGAAATCATCTGTTCAACCTGTCCGCACCTCAAGATATTTCTTTACACAGTCAAGGAACTCCACTTTGGACCTCAACTCCACAAGCTGGACCTTGAGTTTGGACAGCATCAATCTAGCCTCTGAACCTTCAGAAGAAAAACACAGAAATATAGCATTTCTTTCTCTATTTATCAACCAATAGTAGACATTGGGAATTATAAAAGTGATGAGGGATTGATTGGTACCTTTGTTTTTTCTCTCTTGATGGAGCAGCTTTTGGTAGAAATTTCGGGTCTTTTTGAGATTCTTCGTCTCGATCATGTGCTGCTGTTGAAGCTCCTACAAGGAGAAAATGTAATGCATAAAATATCAAGTAGACAACAAGCCATTCAGATCTCTACTTAGAACTGCAAAGGGTTCTTCGGCCGTCTCTGTAGGAAAACTCAAGGTTCATTTCTTAACCCCGGTTCTATCATAATATGATGGAGATTTGCGTAGCGATCCACAGAGTGGAAGAAACCTGCGTCTGTCAGAGACAAGTCGAGTGGCGAATAGGGTGAGCCCCTCCCTCCTTATAAGAGACAAAACATGTATCTCTTCTTTGCGTACTGCGAGAAGGGAAATGTGGTGATACATCTCCCTCATATTATCATAGAACCGGGGTTAAGAAATTAACCTTGAGTTCTATTTCAAATACTTGTTTCGATATATCACTTATGGGATATGGCCAACTCCCATATCGTAGACATGCCTTTCGAAGCCAGGTAGTCTTCCAACAGATTCATCCCTCAGAGGCTCTGAGGACATTATGCGCCAACGAAGGTGCAGTGACATCCAGTCGGTAAAACCTCATAAAAGTATGAGGGGTAGCCCAACAAGCCGTATCACAAATGCCTTTACAACAGTGTCCAAGAGGTGGTGGAATGAGCACTCAGGCCCTCCGGAGGCTGTAAACCCTTGTTATTATAAGCCAATATAATAGCCTCCACTATCCAATGGGATAGTCATTGACAAGAGAGGGGCCCACCCTTGAGGGGGGCACCCAGGAAACAAAGAGCTGGTCGTCCTTGCGTAAGTAAATGCACAACGCGCGTACTGGACAAAATGGTGTGAAGGGAGGTGGGTGGAAAACCACAAGCTCAGGCGAGACTATTCCGCTTTGCGGACGTAAGGGCAATCAGTAAAGCAGTTTATAGGAGAGATACAGTGGGGAGAACAAGTATTTGATACACTGCCGATTTTGCAGGTTTTCCTACTTACAAAGCATGTAGAGGTCTGTAATTTTTATCATAGGTACACTTCAACTGTGAGAGACGGAATCTAAAACAAAAATCCAGAAAATCATATTGTATGATTTTTAAGTAATTAATTTGCATTTTATTACATGACATAAGTATTTGATCACCTACCAACCAGTAAGAATTCCGGCTCTCACAGACCTGTTAGTTTTTCTTTAAGAAGCCCTCCTGTTCTCCACTCATTACCTGTATTAACTGCACCTGTTTGAACTCGTTACCTGTATAAAAGACACCTGTCCACACACTCAATCAAACAGACTCCAACCTCTCCACAATGGCCAAGACCAGAGAGCTGTGTAAGGACATCAGGGATAAAATTGTAGACCTGCACAAGGCTGGGATGGGCTACAGGACAATAGGCAAGCAGCTTGGTGAGAAGGCAACAACTGTTGGCGCAATTATTAGAAAATGGAAGAAGTTCAAGATGACGGTCAATCACCCTCGGTCTGGGGCTCCATGCAAGATCTCACCTCGTGGGGCATCAATGATCATGAGGAAGGTGAGGGATCAGCCAAGAACTACACGGCAGGACCTGGTCAATGACCTGAAGAGAGCTGGGACCACAGTCTCAAAGAAAACCATTAGTAACACACTACGCCGTCATGGATTAAAATCCTGCAGCGTACGCAAGGTCCCCCTGCTCAAGCCAGCGCATGTCCAGGCCCGTCTGAAGTTTGCCAATGACCATCTGGATGATCCAGAGGAGGAATGGGAGAAGGTCATGTGGTCTGATGAGACAAAAATAGAGCTTTTTGGTCTAAACTCCACTCGCCGTGTTTGGAGGAAGAAGAAGGATGAGTACAACCCCAAGAACACCATCCCAACCGTGAAGCATGGAGGTGGGAACATCATTCTTTGGGGATGCTTTTCTGCAAAGGGGACAGGACGACTGCACCGTATTGAGGGGAGGATGGATGGGGCCATGTATCGCGAGATCTTGGCCAACAACCTCCTTCCCTCAGTAAGAGCATTGAAGATGGGTCGTGGCTGGGTCTTCCAGCATGACAACGACCCGAAACACACAGCCAGGGCAACTAAGGAGTGGCTCCGTAAGAAGCATCTCAAGGTCCTGGAGTGGCCTAGCCAGTCTCCAGACCTGAACCCAATAGAAAATCTTTGGAGGGAGCTGAAAGTCCGTATTGTCCAGCGACAGCCCCGAAACCTGAAGGATCTGGAGAAGGTCTGTATGGAGGAGTGGGCCAAAATCCCTGCTGCAGTGTGTGCAAACCTGGTCAAGACCTACAGGAAACGTATAATCTCTGTAATTGCAAACAAAGGTTTCTGTACCAAATATTAAGTCCTGCTTTTCTGATGTATCAAATGATTATGTCATGCAATAAAATGCAAATTAATTACTTAAAAATCATACAATGTGATTTTCTGGATTTTTGTTTTAGATTCCGTCTCTCACAGTTGAAGTGTACCTATGATAAAAATTACAGACCTCTACATGCTTTGTAAGTAGGAAAACCTGAAAAATCGGCAGTGTCTCAAATACTTGTTCTCCCCACTGTATTTCATCTCCACGCTTTCCAGCGGTTGCTGTGAAATAGCCTCAAGCACAATAGACAGGTCCCAAGACAGGGCTAAAGGTTTGGAGAATGGGCGTAAGCAACGTGCTCCCTTCACGAAACGACATAACAGAGGGTGCTTCCCTACTGTGTTGTTGTCTAAGCCTATCTGGCAGGCTGAGATAGTGGCTAAATAGACCTTTACAGTGGAGAAAGCCTTCCCTCTGTCCAAAAGGTCTTGCAAAAAGCATAAAACCTTGATACAGAGCATTGGTAAGGAATGATCTATCTCTGGTCACACCACTTCTCAAAAACACGGCACTTGTTTCAGTGAGCATGTAGAAGGGGCTCTTGCACTCTGGATAGTCTCAAAGCCTGTCACATTCAGATTCATCCTTTCGTGGTTACTGAGGGAGGATGGGAAATCTCTCCATTTGCTTGCGTCATCAGGACCCAGCATAACAGTAGTTTCTCTGACTGTAGAGGGGCTACCAGAATGAGGGATAAGACTTGGTCACTCGCTCTGACTAGAGTGGGGAGTATTAGACATAGGGGAGGAAAGACGCAAAGCCACTCCCCTAGTCGAGGTGTGCGTTTTTTACAAGTGCAGAAAACCATGCTCAGTGCATGTTTTTATGTGATGCGAAGAGATCTATGGTGGCTTGACCGTGATCCTCCCAGATCTGGTTCACCACTTAGGGAGTCTCCGGTCCACGTATAGGGGATTCCCTTTGGACATCAAGTCCCTTTCCACAGTTAGTAAGCCTGGGACCTGAGTTGTGCGTAGGAAGAGTAGGTGTGCTCTGCTCCACAGAGTAGTCTTGCAGAGCACGAGCGCCACATTGGCGGTTGATGTATGCTACCACGGTCATATTGTCTGTCCTGATCAGGATATGACAATCTCGAAGGAAGGGCTAAAAGTGTTTCACTGAGTGGAACACTATCAGCAGCTAAAGGTGTTTTGACTGAGCGAGAAGGGGCTGTGGGAACCACAATCCATCTAAAGCTCTTTCCTCGTAGGCTGTGCCCCCTCCTGTGAGTGGTGCGCCTGTCGTCACCACCTTCCTCGTTGACACTGCCCCCAGGGGAGTGCCAGGAACAATTATCAAGGGGCTCCTCCCATGACAGAGAGCCCAGAGACAAACTGAGATTACTTTATGTAAAGATAAAG